AATGCCCTTGTACTGTTCACCATGTAAGAATTTATTCACTATGTAAGAATTCGTTCACCATGTAAGAACTTGTTCGTTATGCTTCAGAAGATTGGAGACTGACGAGAATTAGGCTTGAGATGGATTAATGATTGTGCATTGAGCATTGACTCCCCTATACTGAATTTTATTGTTGTTAACAACCATTTGATCAATATATATGAGAGATGCCCTCTCGAAAATAAATAAATAAATAAATAAATACCAGAAGGAAAAAAAAATGCAGTTTCCATTTTCCATATGATATAAAGGTCCCAAACTGTTGAAAAAAATATAACAAGAAACAAAGAAATTAAGTAAAAATCTGAAACCTAAAATGTCTTGGCAAATGGAAAATATTTTTATGTTTCATTACTTCATTACATAGGGCTATTTTTGTGCAAGATATTTTCAATAAATTATCTGGCTCTATCCACTTCAACTAAGTGCCTGGGTATGCTAAAATATGTCCATTTTCAACTGTTCTTCCTATCGGATTTCTGGCACAAGCCATATAGCATTATAATAAAGACAGATGCATTCAAGTCAGAAAAACGTGAGCTTAAATCATACTTCCACCCCTGACCATCTCTGCAAACTTGCATAATCATTCTTTGACTCATATCCCTCTTCTATAACATGGAAATGCCATCTAAATCACAGGAAAACTAAGAATTAGTACTTGTAATGCAATGACAGCAGTGCTTAGCACAGTTCTTGCTCAAGAAGGGCAGCATTGTTTGTGAGAGCTCTGCTCCTATTCTCCCTCTTCCTCATCACCATAACCGTGCAACTCTTTCAGCAAATGCTTGGAATGACAAATTATAACTCAAGGGATAGATTAGGAGGCCACTTAACATGAGAATCTGATGAAAATGTATTCTCTGTAGAATAGAGAACAACCTTGGGAATACACAAAACCCATAAAATTTATACAAAGAGCAAGCTCTGCAGGGGTGTCAAAATCTGGATAGAAGAGCATGTATGTGGTAACAGAGACTACTGAGCTTCCCTCCCCAGTATCATCGAAGCAAGAACAAAATTGGTTTCACTGTGTTCTGAGTTCTAAAGTGCAATTTTAAAGGTATTTTAACAGTAGTTCAACTATGTTACATAGCAAATAATCTTTTTGTTATGGCTTGGAGCACTAACAATCTTGTAGAATATTTTTCCTTAAAAACATAATTGCCAAGTTCCTAGCAGTTGATTTATATATAAATGTTAAATCTCAAGGATTTGCTAGTTGGACATAAGCACATCAGAATAAACAGGCATTTCAAAAAGCTGGACCTTTAAAATTTGATGTCTGTTTAAGACATTCACTTAACTCCTAATCTGCAAACTTGCCAACTGTGAGTACAGCTGCAGTAAACCCAATTTAGGGGCACCAGGTGTGGCTTATGGCATTTGGGCAAGTGTTATGACAGTTGAAATTGTGCTTTTGTATTTCATATCATCATTTCATATGTGTTTTTACTGGGAATTTCTCAGATATTTTTCTGTATAGCTGCTATCAAGAACAACATTCAATAGAGTTCATTCAATATATTTTATATAATTACGTGCATAAGTAAATAAGCCCAGAGGCTAGAGTTATGAAAAATGTTCTCTCTCTTGAATAACTATGAACTCTCCTGCACCCCTTTGTTAGTTTGTGAAGAAGCTCAGAGTTAAGTTTTCTGATTCCTTCTGTCCTCAGTATTCTTCTCATAATACTCCTAGAATACGATACTTTCTCATTAGTCTTGTTGTAATAATTTTTTTGCGTTTTTAGTATTTGAGCTTCTTGTTGCAAAGGTTCAAAAATTACTTGGTCAAAGAGACTGTATTTATATATGTTTAAAAACCTGTGTGATATCCTAAAATTCTAAACCCATTCCCATGCTAAATATATTTTATTTATTTGTTCACTGAGTTTCCAGAGCAGTTTTCCATTTCTCTGCATGTACCTGTTTCTCAATGATAACATACCCAATTAACAAAGGTAAAAACAAAAGGATTGTCCTTTTTTCTCTAGCTTTGCTGACTAGCTTGATAGAGAAAATTGTTGTCATTATAAACATGAAGTTAATTGGCCCATGAAACAAGAAGATAGTCTTTGTCTATCTGTCTAGCCAGTTATCTATTATCTGCCTCTACCTCCCTTTTACATAGAGGGTTGGCAAATGAGAAAAAAATGTGTCTTTCCTTTTCCACCATTTACTATACTTTTCTATACTTTACTACACTTAGTGCTAATATTACTAAACAATATTAGCACTAAAAGCACAGTGATTATAAAAAGAAGTCACAAAGCACATCTTAATTTAAGGGCAATAGATTTTTTCATCTCTCTACCTTTCTACCATCTCTCATACTTTTCTACCATATCTTGCACACGTATTTCAAGGTCTAATGACAAAGGATTTAATAAAATTGCTCACATCAAAGTGGTGGTATTGTCAGCCCTCCCCCACATATGTACACATTTGGTTTTACAACTAAGGGCTAAAGCAAAGGGACTCTGCCTTCTAAAAATGTTCTGATGCACTTGGTAAAAATTTAGGCAGGAGAACACCAAGGTCTGGCTGAGGCTTGAGATATGCAAATTTCCCTGTTACCTCTTAAATCAAAACAGCCTGGTGACACTTCTCCAGCGTACTCCTTAGGTGTACAGATGTAGTCAGAAGAACGCTCTTCCTGCAGGTGCCAGAGAAAACCAGGAAGCCCCTTTTTCTTCTCTGTGAAGACAGAGGAGACAATCTCAAGGGTCATTATCAAATTATTAAAAATTAGATTGTAAAAAGTCAAATGAATAGTGTTATAAATAATATTACTGCTTAATAACAGAATATAAGGTGAACAATATAGCACTAAGAGAGCACAGTGATTATAAAAAGAAGTCACAAAGCACATCTTAATTTAAGGGCAATAGATTCTTTCATCTCTTTTGAAATGACATACTGTAGAGCTTCAAAACTCTCTGTTAACAACTTTATGAATATTAAAGAATACCATGAAAACTTCCATTTAAAGAAGTGATTCATTATTTAATGCTTATATTACTTTTATTATTGTTACCAAGCAAGCAAATTCCTAGTGGTCAAATAAGAATGTTTTCATATTTTAGTGCTGCAACACTAGTTCATCTATTATTAATATAACTCATAAATACTCTCACCATCAAAAATAGCCTCAAACAATCTTATCTGGGAAGACTCAGACTTTACTTCTTCCCTGAGGGTTTTCAGTTTCTGGACTATAATTAGGTGTCAGCTATTCTGACAGAGAAGATTCTCCCAACTTTCTCCCATGTCTCAATAATGTTCTTGACAGATTTTATACCCTGAGGCAACCAAACAGTTTACTAAGTGAGACCCACAAGTAGAGAAGGAAAATGAAGAATAGGGGAAAACTTGTTATTTTTAGCTGAAAGTTAATCAGGTATTTCTATAGGATTATTTTCCTGAAAACATTCATATTTTGCCAAATACATGATGCAGGTTATTTCACCCTTTAAAACAATTTTAGCCACTTGTTTTAGCACTTTGATTGTGCATGTTTATGAAAAAGGAAGTATTTTCTTTCTAATTAAGAACCCTCCACTAAAAATTTTATTCTGTTAAATGATTTCTTTTACATTTAACACCCATACTTTCTGTAAAATATCTCTACTGTCATGTATTTCCTAAAACAATTCATTGAGATAATAAATGACCACATGAAAATGTCAGTAGATTCCACCTCTGATAAATAATAACACATCACAGCAACAGTTAACATGAAGAAGCTAGTCTTTCTATAACTATCTCAAGAGATATAGGAGTCTATCCTCTACAGTGCAAGTATTGGAATATTTCTAGAAGAAAGGCTAAAAATAATTATAGAATAGTCAAGCCAGGGTGTCACTATCAGAATGATGACAAAGGTGGAAATCATCTTTTTATTTTGAAGTCTGATCATGGCTGCATCATGTTTAGCTGTGTTCAACCTCCTTGGTTGTATAAGGTTTGCATATGAAAATAATTTTTAAAACTTGAATTGCTAGTTTTTTGGCGATGTGCTCCTTTCTTAAGATAAAGCAGCGAATAAGACAAGTTCCAGCTTTAAAGATTCAATGTTTTAGATCTGGAGTCTATCGTAGATAAGTAAAAGGACAATAAAGTATAGTGTCATGAGTACTATGATAAAAATTCCAACATTCAGAAAAGGAACATCCTATACAGGTTGGAAGTGAGATGGGAGTATTTAGCAAAGTCTTCATAGAAGAAGTGACATCTAAATTGAATCCAGAAATATAAATACCTCCTTAATGTGGAGTTTGGGGTGGAAGTATGGATAACCTTAATAAATAATTCTGATCACAAGATTGTCTTTCCTAAAATTTTTTATCACTCCTAGAAGCCCTCCTGTCTATAAGTCTAACCCAAACTGTTCTCTCCCCTTTTGCTGTATTCTTTAGGTTAATCTTAGTTCTGAGGCATGAAGCAGAATGGAGTGCAGAGCAGGAAGTGAAGAAAAGCATGTTGTGGAAATGGACTAGAGAAATAGCTCACCTTTTGAGGTGTAAGTCACACTAGTTAGGAGTGTGAACTGAGTCTGTTTCTATTTCATTCCGCATACCAAATGCATCCTCTATATGTGACTTTAAGCAAATTATTTACTCCATTAATCTAAGTTTCCTCATAAAAAGTACTGTCAAATCACAAATTTTCCATGAGTGTTAAGTTAAATAATGTACTCCATATAAAAATATTCAATGTTGGCTATTATGATGATGATGGTGATAATGGTGTCTTATAGCCGAAAAATCCAAGTTGCATATTTAAATGTTGTTGTCTCCATGGTAATATTCTATAGCAGGTTCTAAAAATTTTGACCAAATCAAGCTAAATTCTCTTTTTCTAAATTTTTCATTTTTATAGGATTATAGTTGACATGCAGCGTTATATTGGTTTCAGATGTGTAACATAATGATTTGATAATCATATACATTACTAACTGTTCACTATGGTAGTTATCCCATTATAATACCAAAATATTACAGTATTGTTGGTTATAGTGTCTATGTTGTACTTCCATTCCTATGACTAATTTATAATTTAAAGTTTCTAGCTCTTACCCCCTTCACTTATTTAGCCCATCCCCTCAACCACCCAAATGCCTCTTTAGATTAAGAAAAAGTGGAATACACTTTCCTCACAATACTTCCTAGATTTCCTCAAAATAATGCTTTGCAATAAATATAGCAAACCAGATAACTCAAGTTTTCTTTGGCTAGATGGAAATGAAATATATTTAGGATTTTTCAGCTCTAGCCATGAAATAGTTACATATCATACCTTTGCATCTTTTTTTAAATATGGAAAGGAACAAGATATATGAGGCAATTGTTTTCAAGCAGTGGACAAGAGAGAGAACAAATTATTTGATTTTAAAAGAGGGAAATTCTCCTATAAGTGAGCTTTGCTTTTGCCCTGACTTCCTGCCTGGGAGATATTTTTTAGAACACAGTATAAAGAGAAGGAACCCAAGCAAAAAGCTGCAATTGAAATGAATGAAGCAGGCTAACATAGGAGTTCAGAAACTCTGAGTGGAATAATTTTGTGAGTCTATATAGTGGAAAGGAAACCTGCACCCAGAAGAAACTCTGGAGTTATTCCATTTGTTCCCTGGCTGAAGGCAAGGCTATGAAGACTTGGAATGAGATTTTAAGGTCTAGTGGAAAGCAGCTCCTGGGGACTAACAATTGAATGAAGACACAAGAGGTTCTTCAGTTTAGGGAAACAGTACAGTATGGCTTTAACTAGAGTGGAGAGTTTTTCTGAGTATCTCAGGCATGCAACTGACACCCTATGAAGGCCATTCATCTGAAGTATGATTACAGGCTAGAACAAAGCAAAAAACTGAAACAGATCTACCCAAACTCTAAAATTAAAGTTCAAAGTGATCAATAATTCATTTAACTTTCCACCAGAACAAAACACAGTAATTTAAAGGAAGAACCATAATCCAGGCATCTTACAATTTAGCAAATAGTCATAATTACTGAAACAAACATGAATTCCATAGTGAAAATAGAAATGTGTATTTTCCACCAAAGGAATAAAAGAAGTAGTAGAAACAGACCCAACAGCAGATGACATTGATGTTGGAATTCACAGGTAATGACTTTAAGAGACATTATGCACTTGTTCAAGGAATTGAAGAAAAGAAGTAAAGCTGATATTAAAAAATGGGGAAACTTGGGGTAAAATAACACATGGACACAATAAACAAGAAATCTATTGAATTCTCAAAAATTCACATATAAAATGAAATGAGAAAGCCACAGGATGAATTTAAAAGCAAAAGAATCAGTGAATTTAAATGCAGATTCATAGAAATAATTCCAACTGAGCCAAGCAGAAGAAAATCTGGGGAAAAAATTAACAGAGACTCAATTACTTGAGGGATTAAGTGTGACAAGTATGCAATTGGATCTCCCCAAAGAAGGAAGAGAGATGGAAGTTTTCAAAGAAATACTGGCCTCCAAATTTCCCAAATTCAGTGAAAAAGAAAGTGTTCACAGATCCAAGAAAATCAGTAACCTCAAAGGAAGATAAATACCAAGAACCACATACAGGCATATCATAACCAAACTTTTGAAAGTCTAAGATAAAACAGGTAAAGGATGAACAAAATGAAATATAAGAGATCAATGTAAGTTTGAAGGCACTGGGGGGAGGCGGGAGCACGTCAGACACTGATGACGTGCCAAAGTCCCCTGCTGCTGCCCCCTCCCAACCTGAAAAACGTGCCTTGGGCTAGCCAATCCTCACGCCGCTATAAACCTAAGCTCTGCCTCCCCCTACCTCCTTTAAAAACTCGCTGCCTGTCTACTTTTGCACGACTTCCCCAGCCTCCATTTCCGTAGACTAGGGAACCTCGCCCGGGGCGTTCGAATAAACTACTGGCCCTTTGTTGCCTCTCGTCGCCTGCTTATTTCGGCTAGAATTTATCTTACAATCAACATTAAAAATCCTGGCAGACTTATCAGAAAAAGTGAACACATGACAAAAATGGAGAGCATCTTCAATGCACTTTAAAACAGTTTTCCACTTGGAATTCTATATTTAAAGAAATTATCCTTCATTAAAGGAGTGGAAGTTTAAATAAAGAAATTTCAGGTAAACAAAAGCTGAGAGAATTACAGGCTAGTAGGAACTGTAATAAATAGTTAAATAATTTTTTCATAGTGAAGGAAAATGTTACCAGGTAAATAGTCAGAAACTCATATATACACAGATGAATGGAGAAGACTGGAAATAAAAATATAAAAATAAATTTGATGATTATCTTTGTTTTATTTTCTTAATAACTTTAAACAACTATTTAGAGCAAAAAATAGTTATATAAAATTATTATATTATAATATGTATAAATAAAATATATGATAAAGGCAAAAAGGTTTGGAGGGATAAATAGAATTATATTATTTGTTTTACATTCCATGTGAAGTACTACAATATTAAGTCTAAGTAGAATAAAAGAAGTTAATAATGTATTATAGTCCCTAAAACAAAATTGGAAGAATTATACTCTCTGATAACATCATGTATTATACTAATCAAGAGAATGTAGTTTTCATAGAAGGATCAAAAAAAAAAAACTAATGAAGCAAAATAGAGTTCAGAAATAGATTGCAAATACGCAATCGATTTTCAACAAAGTTATCAGGGCAATGAAATGAGACAAGAACAGTTTAAATGATTATATTAAAAACAAAAACAAGCAAAATAATCTTATCTATTCCACATTGTTCAAAAAAAGCAATTTGTAATAACAGATCAAAATGTAAAAGCAAATATTTTAAAGGTTCTATATTAAAACAAAGATGACTATTTTCACAAACTTGGGTTAGACAGACTTTTTTAATAGAACACAAAAAGCTCCAATCATAGAAACCAGCCTTAGAGTCCATAAAACTGTCAGAAACTTTTGTTCAGAGTTCCCTCAATACTGAACTCTGTTCCTAAGGAGAAAATGAACAGGTTTTAGGCTCTTGCTTATGCAAGTTAGTAGTTAGTGATAGGAGGGTTGATTTTCACTCATTTTTGCTTTACAGCTTTAGTGGCTTAGCTGACATCTGACAGTTCAGCATTCTCTCCAACTCATACACAGGAACCAAATCAAATGGCAAAATATGTAGACATCTAGATGTTTGAGACCCTTCTTAATTTAAAATTTAACATTATTATCAATATGAAAAGATGATATTAACAAGTTACTGTAGATCAATCAGTAATCTCCCAAATCAAATTTTGGTAAATATTGATATGGACTTAGGTGTTCATCTTTTTTGGTGGGGAGGGAGGCAGGGGCTGATAATTGTTTGATAAGTAGTAAAAGGCCTTGTGTTTGTAGTGAACCTTTCTGATGTATGAAATATAAATATAAAAGAGCAAACAAAACAGTACTCGCACAGCCTGAAGAAATATCCCACATTACGTGCACCATATAACTACCAATCAGGCCAAGATATAGAATACCTAACCCTTCCTCCCTCCCAACTACCATACCCTCACTCTTTCCAAAATTAAGAATGTGAAAGCATCTAATATTATAGATTAGGTTTTCCTATTTTTCATCTTTATATAAATGAAATCATAAAGCATGTCTTCTTTTAAATTTGCCTCTTTTGCTTAACATTAAGTGTATTTTAGATTTTCTCTTTTTAGATTCTGTCATTTATTCTATTTTCATGTCTACATGTACCATTTGAGTTTTTACACAATTATATTATGGATCTTAAAAAATGAAATAACTAAAACTAAAACCTAATGGATCAGTTTAATAGCACATTAAATATCTCTGAAGAAATAAGTTGTGAATAAAAAGATAGAGACAAATATTAAGTTATGGAATTGCTATTTGGTTCTTGTTTGTACTGCTCAGTTCTCTCCAGAATATTTTGCAATTCCTTGACTTATTAATGAGGTTAATTTAAAGTCTGTATCTGTAACTCCATTATCTGGAGTTCCTGTGGGCCTGTATCTAGTCTCTGTTTTTGTTTCTTGATTAATGGCTAATATGTCTTTTCATATCCTTGATTATCATAAATTAAATGCCAAACATTGTAAATAAAAAGTTATAGTCACACTTTAAAGTTGTGGATGAATTTATGTGCTCTCAGAGTTTACTTTTGCTTCTGACAGCCTGCTAGGCAAGGAAAACCAGTTTCATATAATCTTGATCTAATAAAGGAATGAGAGGATTCAAGGATGAACTTCAGTTCTTCTAACAAGTCAAATTCCAAATGGACTTACTCCTGGCGTATAGCCCCTGTTAAGGAAGAGAGATGGAAGTTTTCAAAGAAATACTGGCCTCCAAATTTCCCAAATTCAGTGAAAAAGAAAGTGTTCACAGATCCAAGAAAATCAGTAACCTCAAAGGAAGATAAATACCAAGAACCACATACAGGCATATCGTAACCAAACTTTTGAAAGTCTAAGATAAAACAGGTAAAGGATGAACAAAATGAAATATAAGAGATCAATGTAAGTTTGAAGGCACTGGGGGGAGGCGGGAGCTCGTCAGACACTGATGACGTGCCAAAGTCCCCTGCTGCTGCCCCCTCCCAACCTGAAAAACGTGCCTTGGGCTAGCCAATCCTCACGCCGCTATAGACCTAAGCTCTGCCTCCCCCTACCTTCTTTAAAAACTCGCTGCCTGTCTGCTTTTGCACGACTTCCCCAGCCTCCATTTCCGTAGACTAGGGAACCTCGCCCGGGGCGTTCGAATAAACTACTGGCCCTTTGTTGCCTCTCGTCGCCTGCTTATTTCGGCTAGAATTTATCTTACAATCAACATTAAAAATCCTGGCAGACTTATCAGAAAAAGTGAACACATGACAAAAATGGAGAGCATCTTCAATGCACTTTAAAACAGTTTTCCACTTGGAATTCTATATTTAAAGAAATTATCCTTCATTAAAGGAGTGGAAGTTTAAATAAAGAAATTTCAGGTAAACAAAAGCTGAGAGAATTACAGGCTAGTAGGAACTGTAATAAATAGTTAAATAATTTTTTCATAGTGAAGGAAAATGTTACCAGGTAAATAGTCAGAAACTCATATATACACAGATGAATGGAGAAGACTGGAAATAAAAATATAAAAATAAATTTGATGATTATCTTTGTTTTATTTTCTTAATAACTTTAAACAACTATTTAGAGCAAAAAATAGTTATATAAAATTATTATATTATAATATGTATAAATAAAATATATGATAAAGGCAAAAAGGTTTGGAGGGATAAATAGAATTATATTATTTGTTTTACATTCCATGTGAAGTACTACAATATTAAGTCTAAGTAGAATAAAAGAAGTTAATAATGTATTATAATCCCTAAAACAAAATTGGAAGAATTATACTCTCTGATAACATCATGTATTATACTAATCAAGAGAATGTAGTTTTCATAGAAGGATCAAAAAAAAAAAACTAATGAAGCAAAATAGAGTTCAGAAATAGATTGCAAATACGCAATCGATTTTCAACAAAGTTATCAGGGCAATGAAATGAGACAAGAACAGTTTAAATGATTATATTAAAAACAAAAACAAGCAAAATAATCTTATCTATTCCACATTGTTCAAAAAAAGCAATTTGTAATAACAGATCAAAATGTAAAAGCAAATATTTTAAAGGTTCTATATTAAAACAAAGATGACTATTTTCACAAACTTGGGTTAGACAGACTTTTTTAATAGAACACAAAAAGCTCCAATCATAGAAACCAGCCTTAGAGTCCATAAAACTGTCAGAAACTTTTGTTCAGAGTTCCCTCAATACTGAACTCTGTTCCTAAGGAGAAAATGAACAGGTTTTAGGCTCTTGCTTATGCAAGTTAGTAGTTAGTGATGGAAGGCTTGATTTTCACTCATTTTTGCTTTACAGCTTTAGTGGCTTAGCTGACATCTGACAGTTCAGCATTCTCTCCAACTCATACACAGGAACCAAATCAAATGGCAAAATATGTAGACATCTAGATGTTTGAGACCCTTCTTAATTTAAAATTTAACATTATTATCAATATGAAAAGATGATATTAACAAGTTACTGTAGATCAATCAATGATCTCCCAAATCAAATTTTGGTAAATATTGATATGGACTTAGGTGTTCATCTTTTTTGGTGGGGAGGGAGGCAGGGGCTGATAATTGTTTGATAAGTAGTAAAAGGCCTTGTGTTTGTAGTGAACCTTTCTGATGTATGAAATATAAATATAAAAGAGCAAACAAAACAGTACTCGCACAGCCTGAAGAAATATCCCACATTACGTGCACCATATAACTACCAATCAGGCCAAGATATAGAATACCTAACCCTTCCTCCCTCCCAACTACCATACCCTCACTCTTTCCAAAATTAAGAATGTGAAAGCATCTAATATTATAGATTAGGTTTTCCTATTTTTCATCTTTATATAAATGAAATCATAAAGCATGTCTTCTTTTAAATTTGCCTCTTTTGCTTAACATTAAGTGTATTTTAGATTTTCTCTTTTTAGATTCTGTCATTTATTCTATTTTCATGTCTACATGTACCATTTGAGTTTTTACACAATTATATTATGGATCTTAAAAAATGAAATAACTAAAACTAAAACCTAATGGATCAGTTTAATAGCACATTAAATATCTCTGAAGAAATAAGTTGTGAATAAAAAGATAGAGACAAATATTAAGTTATGGAATTGCTATTTGGTTCTTGTTTGTACTGCTCAGTTCTCTCCAGAATATTTTGCAATTCCTTGACTTATTAATGAGGTTAATTTAAAGTCTGTATCTGTAACTCCATTATCTGGAGTTCCTGTGGGCCTGTATCTATTCTCTGTTTTTGTCTCTTGATTATGGCTAATATGTCTTTTCATATCCTTGATTATCATAAATTAAATGCCAAACATTGTAAATAAAAAGTTATAGTCACACTTTAAAGTTGTGGATGAATTTATATGCTCTCAGAGTTTACTTTTGCTTCTGACAGCCTGCTAGGCAAGGAAAACCAGTTTCATATAATCTTGATCTAATAAAGGAATGAGAGGATTCAAGGATGAACTTCAGTTCTTCTAACAAGTCAAATTCCAAATGGACTTACTCCTGGCGTATAGCCCCTGTTAATCCCACCTGAATGGCCAGTATGTTTCTGGACTGCTCCTCGGGAGGCATGGAGCTTCAGTGGACTTTGTGCCACTCTTCCTTTTGGCTTCATGAATCTACCAACAGCTCGTCTCAGTTCTCCAGTCTCTCAGATACCACTGTAAAAGTCAACAACTGCCTCCAGGAGAAAATACAAGCTTAATGACAAGAAAACCAAATGGAACTTTGGAATGTAATTACATAATATTTGAAGTTAAAAATTCACTGGAGAGTCTTAATTATAGACTAGGCATGGCAGAAGAAAAGATGCAACAAAAAATATCCTTCAAAAATGTGTTTCTGTGCCTTTGATCATATTTTCTTCTGTTTTCAATGTCCAGTGATATCCAGATGCTAGAAGTTCCTTAACTTAGGTCCCCTGTGTGAGGATGACATGATCAGAGTACCGTCTGAACTAAGGTAAACATGTAGTTCAAGAGCAATAAAAAACTTTGATATTCAAATCACTGAGATTTGAGGGTTGCTATTTTACTGGACTCCATTCTGCAACATCCTAACTAATAAAGATGCTTTAATATTAGAAAAATCTATTAATGCAATTTACCTCATACCTTATCAGATTGAAAGGAAAGGTAGAATGATTATACCAGTGAGTGATAATAGTACATTTTAGCTTTCATTACACATTCATACCAAAAAGATCTTAGAAAAGCAGCATTAAGAAGAAGTTTAATGATTTGGAAGGTCTTAAGTAAATACTCTTCATAAATATTTAAAATAAAAATTTCACTTTAGAAAGTTTTAGATTTCCAGAAAAAAATTATGAAGGTAGTACAAAGAGCATTATCAACTTGAGTGAGGTAGGAGATACCCAAATAGCTGGTAAAAATGTAATTTCAGGGTATGTCTGTGAGGGTGTCTGCAGAAGAGTTTAGCATTTGGATGAGAAGACAGAGTAAAGAAAATCATCCTCATTAATGCCAGTGGGTATCATCTAGTTCCTTGAGGGCTTGTGTTCCTGGCTCTCCAGATTTCAGACTCAAACCAGTATTTATACCATTACTCCCTGTCTTCCCTGTAGGTAAAATTTAACATTTCCAGAATATTTCACCTGGCTTTAGTGCATCTGCATATCAACAGTCATTCCTCAGGGGTGGAGACAGTTCATCTCTATATCAGTGGGTAATTACCTGGGCAACTGAAGACTTATCTGAGCCTGAGAGGTTGGGGGCAAGGGGGTGCTGGTTTGGCTTCTCCCCAAGCAGGAAAGAGAGATGGCCTCAGACTGTAGTTTGTAAGCAATAAACAAATTTTAAACTTTATTTCTCCCTTTGACTGATGTTGGTTTTAAAGGTATTTTGCCCCAGGATGTCCTCTCCCCAGAGTAACATCCCCACCCCAATTTCTCAGGCTTTTGGACTTAGACTGAATTATACCACTGGCTTTTCTGGTTCTTCAGTTTGTAGAGGGCAGACTGTGGCTTCCATAAACACATGAGCCAATTCCTACAACAAATCTCCTCGTATATCTCCCATTGATTCTTTTTCTCCTGAGAACCTTAGTTAATGCAATCATTATTAACTGAAGTCCACTCTTAATTCAAATTTCTTTGTTACCAAACAACTTTTTCGATTCCAGGATTCCATTCAGAATACATAACTCTGGGGCTGGTGTGTGTGGGGAAATATTTTCCCAGCCCAGAGCAAAATACCTTTGAAACCAAAATCAATCAAGCAGAAAAATACAGTGGGAGAAACCTGTATATTACTTACAAGCAGTCATCTATTTCTGCTTGTCCATTTCTCTCAACCTAGCTGCAAAAAGGGACCCCAACCAACCTTTCTGGTTCAGATATGCTCTTGTTCCCCCTTGTAATTACCTATTGATATGGAGATGGGCTATTTCTCTCCATCCCTTGGAAACAGCTATTGATATGGAGATGCACTAAGGCCAGGTGAGAGATTCTGGAAATATTGCAGTTTTAGCCACAATTACATTCAACCATCATGTCTCTTTATGCTCCTTTTGAATGTGACATTTTCTCAGGTTTTTGATTTTCATAACCTTGACAGTTTTGACGAGTATTAGTCAGATATTTTGTTGGATCCCTTTATTGGAATCTGGCTCATCTATTTCTCACAATAGACAGGGTTTTATGTTTTGGGAATAAATACCATTAACATAAAGTCCTATTTTTATCATATCCTATCAAGAGTGCCTATTCCCATCATGACGTATCATTGGTGATGCTAACCTTGATCACCTGGCTGAGAAAGTGTTTGTTAGGTTTTTTCCATTGTAAAATTACTTTATTCAGCCCCGTAATGTATTTTGGGAAGTCACTAGAACACCCCAAGCTTAAGGACTGGGGGATTATGTTCCTCCTTCTTGAGGGCAGAGGATTTACATAGCTTTTAATTCTTCTGCATAGGAGATTTGTCTTTTCTCCCCCATTTATTTATTCAATGATTAATTTACATCAGTGTGGATTCATGGATATTTATTCTACACTTTGGGTTATAATCAAATGTTTTGTTACTTTGTTTGTTTCACATGCTTTATCTTTGACACTTGGGGGCTTTCTAAATTGACTCCTGTGTTCCTTTGACATGGCCATATCATTATGGGCTTTTGGAATTTTTAACACCTCCTTCCTCTTTTGAACCAGCCAGTGCAGTGAGACAAAGATAAAAATATTAAATATCTAATAAGGTTGAAAATATGTGCATACTTATGCCAGTAGTCCCACTCCTAAAAAAAACTCTCACCTTTGGTACAGAGGGATATGCATAAGAATGTCAACAAAGATATCGCACAGAGCACAAAAAAAGATAATATAAGTGTTCATTTTAAGAATAATAAATAATTTGTGGAATATTATATGTACATCTTTTTACTGTTAGTTTAAATAAATGAACTAGAGACATGTGATCAATTTGTATAAAACACATATGAAAGAATTTTTTCACTGAAAAAAGAAAATAGATTATGAAAGAGTATTCTTTTTATATAGTTCAAATACATGTAAAACAATAGTGTATATTATTTATTGATATACACATATGCAGTAAAAAATATTTTAAATGTGGAAAAGAATAAATGGTATTTATGATGAGAAGGAAGAAGACTGAAATCAAAGGGGTATACAATATGTCCATTTTAAGTCACTATTAGCCTCCCTATTATTTAATTCAATGACCAAGTGTCACTTATGACCTTACTTGACACACCATCCCCTACCAAAGCTAATAATGTCTTTATCCTGAATGTGTTTTATTCATTTCCTTCTGAACGTCACATTCTCAAACTTTTTTCTTTGCCACTGGTTATAGTTTGTCTCCTTTTTTTTAATCCTGGTCCTCACCAACTTCTTAAATTTGTAGTGCCTTCATCATCATTTTTTAAATCTCTTCATCCTTTTCTCACCAGTGATTTTTCTGGTTCAAAATTTCAATTATTATCTATACAATAATGACTCCAAAATTTATATGTATGGACTAGACTTCCCCATTAAACTCCATAAAACCACATATAAATGTGTGTTTGGCATCTTTCCTTGGAGCCTCTCAAACTCCAAATGCTCAGAACAGAATTTTGGATTATTCCTCTAGAACTGCTCCACCCACATCCATTTCTCCCCATCACTGGGCTCCATAATTCCAGACCATTAAAAACAAGAGCAACAGAAACAAACACTTGAGTCATCCTTGAGATATTTCATTTATATTCCTTATCTACTTTGCCTGATAAATGGAGTTGACTTCAAAATATGTGTACGTACTCCAGGCGGAGATCCAGGGGGCAAAATACCTCTGAAACTGAAATCATTCAAAGGGAGTAATAAAGTTTAAGGAACCCATTTATTTCTTACAAGCAGTCATCGTGTCTCTCTCTTGACCAGGCTGAAGTGGCAGAGAGCTCCACCCAAGCTCTTCAGTCCAGATAAAACCTGGCAGGCCGCTGGGATTACCTATTGATATGCAGGCGGACTAATTCTCTGCATCCCTTGGAAACATCTATTGACATTCAGATGCACTAAAACCAGGTGAGAGATTCTGGAAATCTTGCCATTTCACCCACAGGCCACCCGTCCAGAAATCTGGCCTCACAATCTACACATTCCCCATCTTCCACAATGGCCCTTGTGTGAGAAAACAGAAGCATTGTAAGCAGGCTAATAACAGAAAATAACAACAGCAATAAAATCATGATAATCTTCAAGCTGGAGGATTCAGCTAGGTTCAAAGTACTATGAAGATTAAGTCCATAGCTCACCCATTCCATAGGTGGTCAGTATCTGAGTAGGTAGGGAGTTCAGAGCAACCATCACGAGGCAGGTGCAACCAGGGGTGATATCCAGGCCACAAGAACTGTAGAAGAAAATAACCTTATATGTGTTTTAATGAAATCAGTATAGGCATATCTTGTCTATCAGGTGGGATACATGCAGGAGAGTGGTCCTGTGATAGGACAGTGGCAGGAATGGGATCTCATCCTGGTCTAGTATACCAGACTTTCACCCCTCTCCCTGTGGGAGTTACAGATGGGCCAATATAAAGGGCTATGGGAGGCACATGCATTGGCCACAATGGTAATTCAAAACTCCCTGGTAAGATGCTCTTACCTTCTGGCCTTTTTGGTCACACTACCATCATCTTTGGAGGCCACTTTGCTATTACTCCAGGAACACACAGGAGGCCAGCTTCCAGGCTTTGTCCCCAAGGTGCCAGAAGGGACATCCATCATTGGTCCATGTGTCGAAATGTCCAAGGCCACATGCTCTCCAGGTTGCTGTGGGACTCAGTCATACAGTGCACTTCTGATGGGACTCTGCTGACCTCTTCAAAGGTCAAAGGTAGGCCCCACTGACAGGCTATAGCCTACAGTGTCTTCTGCCCAAGGCAGGCTGTGCTGCTAACCAATACACCTGGACCAATGAGAAAGGCAAACAGTCTACAAGGTGCTGACAAAGCCCCAACTATAGCCGTCTTCAGTCACACGGACATCAACTCACAGGGCCCTGATGGGTCTGTATTACTCAAGACCTACATGGCCTTGACTATCCATTTTGCAACAGCACAGGTAAATGTACACACTTCATGCAAGCCACACCTGATGCTCTTTTGTAGAAAATGG